AAATGTAATGACTGATCCTCATTGTTCCTTAAAATAAAAGCTAAAGACACCTTCAATTTGAAAGCAGTACTCTGATCCTGAAAAACCATGAAAAGATACTTTTTGATTTCTTCAACTGAGAGTCGATTTAATTGAAAGTTATATACGGCACTCAGTTTTTTAGACAGTCGATAAGGCTTGATGTACTTTTCATGTCGTATATAGAGCTCTTGGTATTCTTCTTCTACAACAAAGGTTGGCATCACCAAAGAATCTTTAGATGTGCGAGATGTATCAAGTGGCTGTGCTTCTCTCAAATGCATAGTTCCGTGCTCAATCTGATTCAAAAAAGGGTACTGCATATGACATATGTCACAGTGAACTATTTGGCAGCTGCTGGATGCTTGATGTTCTTGTAGAGCCAATGGGCTGGAGATGACAACACTTGCTTTGCATGTTGGACAGGTTTCACGACGACGTTTGCTCAGGCGGGTGGTTTCGAATGCCTGTAAGGAGGATAAACATTTTACTGTTTGCTGTCGAACTTAAGAAGAGAAAATCTTAAAATCGTCTTAAAAATATCATTGTATCACTTCAAAAGCAAGCAGACTCATGATAGAACCAAAGCTGACTGGCGTGAAATAGTAATAACAGAATGTTCTCATAAATAGTCAAGGCAACTTACTGATGAACTCATAGTCACGAATACGAAGGTTAGAGGTACGAAAGATCACGAAGTAACTCAAAAACAAACTGTTAAAAATTACTTGGAGTAATAGAGATAGAACTGAAGATGAAATCTCTATCTTGAATAATACCAAGTAATGGAATTTGCCTACAATACTAACAATTAATGTACTTGATACTGCAGTTCACCCTGATCATCATCTAACAATTAATGTACTTGACAATGCTGTTGTCAAGTACATTAGGGCTCAATAGTCCACTGGACGGCTCTCGTAGCTTGACTTAATGCTTGTTTCTATCTTGAATACTAGCAAGTAATGGAATTTGCCTACAATACTAACAATTAATGTACTTGATACTGCAGTTCACCCTGATCATCATCTAACAATTAATGTACTTGACAATGCTGTTGTCAAGTACATTAGGGCTCAATAGTCCACTGGACGGCTCTCGTAGCTTGACTTAATGCTTGTTTCTATCTTGAATACTAGCAAGTAATGGAAATTTGACCCTGCTAACAGGCCTTGTCAGTCCATAAATGGTAGTGCACTTTGATTAATTGAACACCTGGGGTCAACCAATCAGACACAGCTTTTTGACCCACGTGATATGCTCCTTGGTCACGTGACAGGTTTCAACAGCCAACTAGACACTGTTCTGCAGCTCACGTGACGGTTTTAAACCAATCAGAAGGTCGAGCAGAATATATACTGTTTCGGGGTGAGATTCAACCCTGATATACTACTTTGCGGTTAAGATTATGGATAGCTTCGTCGTCGGCACACTACCTTATACAGTTACTGAGTTAGCAGCAGTTTCTTCGCACTATAGTCCTCCTGTGTCATTCGGATGATAATTAATCACTCTACACTCGACTGTCACGTGACTTTTTCAACCCTAATCCTCTTATCTGATCCCAACCACCGTACCCTAACCCTAACCCAATCCTTAACAAAAGCATATGCTAAAACCCTAATCCTAACGAAAAATTAGACTAACTTCCTTATACGGTCATATCACGTGATCGAGACAGTTTTTCGCCTATATCTCGTCAGGCATTTTAACCCTATGTCATGGGGGTTAGGCAGTGCGCCATCGACAATAAGACGCGCGCGCGCTGACCATTGAATGGTTTTTAGCTCTTATTTCGGCCAGCACATTATTTTGGAAACAATCGAAAAGTTATAATACTTCCCATATAACAATTTTGTTGACATTTAGTCAGCTTACGTAAACACTTATGTTCTACTGAACCTAATTTAGTTTGAGCAATTTCGATGCTCAGAATTTGAGTTATCAACGAATTTATACATACTTTGTCATTTTTAGACCTCTTAATCAAGGCCAATCTCTCCCAACTAAGTTAGGTTCGGTAGTTAAGTATGATTGGAAGGTTCTGACAAATTTTCAGCATGATTCATGTTCAGGAACCGAAGATATGACAGAATAATACGACAAAAATCAACGAATTTCGTCAAATTACGCGACTTTTACACCTAATTTTGCTCTAAAAGCCGCGCACCATCAAATATGGCACCTAGGCGAAACTCACTGATCATTCCAAAAAGGTACGATAAATTTGGTACTGTGAAAATTCTCACAGTCTCTAGAAAACGATGGTACAAAAATTTTGAAAATCTGAGCAAGTTTATTTTTATCGTGCACCGCCTATGGGGGTGATTCGAAATCAGCGTCCGAACGCGAAAATACATCGATTGAAGTTGGTTTTAACTGTCGGGGGCCCTTTTAGTGTTTAGAACAATCTCGAAGATCGACTGTAAAGTAATTTAGTACGCTCGGTGTCATTCAAGGAACCGAAAATATGGCAAAATATTAATTGATGTAAATTCATCGCAGCTCAGCATGCAAGGCCCAGTCTAATATTGCATTTTGCCGATCTAGCGTCGTTGCGAGATCAGAAGCATAAGTGAGTGCGCGGCGCGGCACAGTAACGCACCGCGCTACAAGTGACAAGGCAGAATATAACGACAAAAATCAACGAATTTCGTAAAATTACGCGACTTTTACGCTTACTTTTGCTCCAATCAAAGCAGCGCACCATTTGCAAATGTAAATGTACATGGAACCTTGGCGAAACTCACTAATCATTCCAAAAAGGTATGACAAATTTGGTACTGCTTAAATTTTTACAGTTTCTATAATGCATTGTCATACGTTGTATGACCCGCCGCGCACGAAGTGCGCGGCTCCCCCTGTATCGTCAGAACGAACATAGTGAAACGACCGTGGGGGTCGCAACGTGATACAAATAATGCATATGCTCTACTAAATAGAAAACAATAATACAACAATTTTGAAAATCCGAGCATGTTTATTTTTTATTGTGCACCCTATTATAAGTCAGACGCAACTTTTAGTTCCAAAATTATAAAAATTTGAAGGACAACATTATTCAAAAATTTGTTCAACATTTTATCTAAGGGGGAGTCTTTACTTGGGCTTTGTGTTCAGGTTTTAAAATTTGAAAATAATTTACCTTTAAATCTTAAAATATTAGTACTAAAAGTTTTGTCTTGATGAGCTGATTACAAAACCAAAATAATTATGAATGATAATGATTAAAAATGTGAAAGTTATAGGCCAAAAACGTTTTAAAAATGAAAAAGCACGCACGGCAAACAATACAAGCGCCGTGCAGCATTTTTAACAAAAATTGTTACACAGTGGAATTATTTTATTTTCATTTTTAGTAGGGGGTGCACGATAAAAATAAACTTGCTCGGATTTAAAAAATTTTTGTACCACTGTCTTCTAGAGACTGTGAGAATTTTCACAATACCAAATTTGCTATACCTTTTTGGAAAGATCAGTGAGTTTCGCCTAGGTGCCATATTTGATGGTGCGCGGCTTTTGGAGCAAAAGTAACTGTAAAAATGTGTGAAATGTGAAAGACGCGTCATTTGACCAAATTCGTTGATTTTTGTCGTATTATTCGGATATATCTTTGGTTCCTTAATGAATGAGATCATTCTGAAAATTGGTGACGACCTTCCAATATAATTGGGCTTTCACAACTGTCCGAAAAATTTGGTGGATATCAGAGTTGATATAGTGTTCAAAATGGGGCGCGGCTTTTGGAGCAAAAGTAACTGTAAAAATGTGTGAAATGTGAAAGACGCGTCATTTGACCAAATTCGTTGATTTTTGTCGTATTATTCGGATACATCTTTGGTTCCTTGGATGAGATCATTCTGAAAATTGGCGACGACCTTCCAATATAATTGGGCTTTCACAACTGTCCGAAAAATTTGGTGGATATCAGAGTTGATATAGTGTTCAAAATGGGGCGCGGCTTTTGGAGCAAAAGTAACTGTAAAAATGTGTGAAATGTGAAAGACGCGTCATTTGACCAAATTCGTTGATTTTTGTCGTTCGTATTATTCGGATATATCTTCGGTTCCTTGGATGAGATCATTCTGAAAATTGGCGACGACCTTCCAATTTAATTGGGCTTTCACAACTGTCCGAAAGATTTGGTGGATATCAGAGTTGATATAGTGTTCAAAATGGAGCAAAATACGCTGCTTTTAGCTAGCTGTAACATAATTTCTGATGGTTGGATATGCTTTAAACTTTTCGGACACTTTCCTTGTAAGTCTATGAGTAAGCTTACCAATTTTTGTTGCAATTGGAGGTCGGGAAGGATACTCAATATCTATTTGTTTGAAGAAAATCGTGCTGGCCGAAATTAGCGCTAAAAAACCATCCTACAGTCAGCATTGACATACGTTGCATGCCACTTTTCGCGCGCGCCGCCGCCTAATATCTCTGATATTTGTGATACGAAACATGTATCAAAGTCAGCACACGCGGCTCACTGTCGATGGCGTACTACCTATTTTTAGACAACTTTTGGTACCAAATTTATCGAAATCGGAGGAAAACATTTTGAGCCAACTCATGGCGCTTATTAACACAGACTAAAGGTTAAAATAATCCCTTGCTTAGCAAGACATCGGCGAAAAAATTGTCTCGATCAGGTGATGGTATGACCATGATATAATGAAGTTGGTCTAATTTCTCGTTAGGGTTAGGGTTTTACTGTTTTAGCATATGCTTCAGTTATGAGTTACTATTAAGGATTTGGTTAGCAGTTAGGGTTGTGGTCAGTGTAGCCGTATAAATTGTACAGTTTTGAAGAAATTATATTTGTATGAGATGCCCAGGCCAGAGAGGCATAATTTTACATCTTATCTTATCTTATCTTATTTTATAGTTACACTACGTCCAGATGCCACAGTTTTTGAGAACTTTGCCAGTCTACAATTAATTTCCTATTTTAAATTAAATGGAATAACAAAAAGGATAGAATTCCAATTATAAATAATCACAGAGATACAACTGTCCCAAAATTCACATGCAATTTTTAAAGCTATTGTTAAAATGCTGAGGAATATATAGTGGAATATTGTTTAGATTGTTTATGGGTCCCTTCTTCAGTGATAACCGGTTATCTCTTATCTCTCAGTATTTCTTATTTAGTTATCTATTATCGGTCTACCAGTCCTCAGGTATCTTGTGACAACATCCTGTACCTCTAACCTCCTGTTCGTTATCACCTAAACATTTAGTCTTTTCCTTTTTACCCGTCACTCTAATCGTGCCTGAAATTGTTTGCTTTAATTAAGTTTTTTAATAAATCTGGATGAAAATCCATGTAAGAGTTCAGGGGACCACTAACTACAGGTAGAACACCTGAAATCTAGGTTTCGGGTATGTTAAGGTGATTTGGCACAAATATAGGCACAAATGTGTTGGGGTCCGGGACCCCCTCAAAAGTTTGGTCACTGGTCCTCATGGCCTAGTTGGCTATGAGTTTGTCCGGTAAGCATGTCCCAAATTTCACAAATTTGACAATAATTTCAGGCTGAAGTATTTCCAGTTAGATTTTGACAACTTTCACAATAATTTAAGGCTGAAGTATTTCCAGTTAGATTCTGATAAATTTCAGAATAAATTAAACCAGGGCGAAGATTCTAACTAAGAATCTTCGCCCTGGTTTAATTTATTCTGACATGTGTTAGAAAGTAAGTAAGTAAGTAAGTAAGTAAATATTATGACATAACATCATCATCATGTTACAAGTACTTTCTTTACCTTATCCAGCAAATATGAAAATTTAAAATGAAATGGTACCTTTTGGGATCCAAACCCAATTAAATTCCCCATCATCCCTCCAACACCACTCGGACATGTTTTCAAAACGTTTCCTGTCTTCATCAGTATAGTTCATTAGGTCAACAAAAGGTGAAGCAGTCGGCTGAGTGAATAATATGTAGTTAATAACAACTAGTTACCATAGTTACACTACTAGTTACCATAGTTACACTACTAGTTACCATAGTTACACTACTAGTTACCATAGTTACACTACTAGTTACCATAGTTACACCACTAGTTACCATAGTTACACCACTAGTTACCATAGTTACACCACTAGTTACCATAGTTACACCACTAGTTACCATAGTTACACTACTAGTTACCATAGTTACACTACTAGTTACCATAGTTACACCACTAGTTACCATAGTTACACCACTAGTTACCATAGTTACACCACTAGTTACCATAGTTACACCACTAGTTACCATAGTTACACCACTAGTTACCATAGTTACACTACTAGTTACCATAGTTACACCACTAGTTACCATAGTTACACTACTAGTTACCATAGTAACTCTCACGCGGTGTGTGTAGTGGGGTGGCTGGCTCCAACGGGAGGTACAATGTGGGTTTTCTACTAGCGTGCTAAATCACTCTACGAGCGTGCTAAATCACTCTACGAGCGTGCTAAATCTTAATCACTCTACGAGCGTGCTAAATCACTCTACGAGCGTGCTAAATCACTCTACGAGCGTGCTAAATCACTCTACGAGCGTGCTAAATCACTCTACGAGTGTGCTAAATCACTCTACACTCGATCTGTGAGATTTTTCTAAAAGGGCCCCAGACAGTTGAAATCAGTCTAAATCGATGTATTTTCGGGCGCTGATTCCGAATAACCCTCAACGACATAGGGTTAAAATGCTCCCCAGACGAGATATTGGTGAAAACAGCCTCGATCATGTGATATGACCGTACAAAGAAGTTGGTAGTTCACCTCATAACCCCAGGATTCAACACGCTCACAGGGTAACATGTCTTGATGTCTCGTATTACCCCAGGATTCGGTTTTCGATAGGAAATTCAAAAGAACAATTAGAGGAGAATTAGAGGAGCGGTCTGCAGTGACGTTGCAGTGACGTTGCAGTGACGTTGCAGTGACGTTGCAGTGACGTTGCAGTGACGTTGCAGTGACGTTGCAGTGACGTTGCAGTGACGTTGCAGTGACGTTGCAGGTCGGAATCACCTAGAATTCACACTGGGAAATATAATTCATGGACGGTTCCAAAATAGGGACATTTTCAGAAGTTGGATACTGTGATTCGAAATATAAACATATAAGCGAGGGCCCCAGATACAATTTCCTCTTAGCCATCCAGACAACTGTTTGACGATCCCGTTAAACACCAGGAACAACGCACGCACACTACGACGTATTACCATAGTTACACTACGACGAGTTGCACATAGCTGATAGCAGGCCACGACCGCCCCTGGAAGTCACTGTCCCTCTATCTTAAACCCGCTGGGATTGCACCAGGGGCGGTGGTAACAGCCCCTGGTGCAATCTCTTTCTCTTTCTCTCTCTCTCTCTCCCTCTCTTTCTCTCTCTCTCTCTCTCTCTCTCTCTCTCTCTCTCTCTCTCTCTCTCTCTCTCTCTCTCTCTCTCTCTCTCTCTCTCTCTCTCTCTCTCTCTCTCTCTCTCTCTCTCTCTCTCTCTCTCTCTCTATCCCCCCCCTTCTCTCTCTCTCTCTCTCTCTCTCTCTCTCTCTCTCTCTCTCTCTCTCTCTCTCTCCGGTCAAACTTACCCCAGGGGTAAGAGGTCCAGGCGAGACGTATTCATCACTTTCGGGATTATCTTTAGGGTCTAATTTGGCGAGATTAGCTTTCCGTAAATTCTCTATCCAGACTTCCATCTTTCGTTTGTGTTCAGCTCTCTCTGCTTTAGACATCTTGGCGAGCGGGCACCCACCGGCGACTAGTCCAAGCATGCACGCTAGCAAAATTGTCCACCTCATTGTTTCCTTTTTTAGCTGCAAATATCGAACAGTTTATTGGAAGTTGACTTACCTGGGGGTCATTCACATATTACGTTATCAGCCGAGGGGGAGGGGGGTTTCCGAATGATTACGCTAGTGTAATTTTGACAAAATAGCTATGTATAAAACTGATTACGGAGAGAAGGGGGGGGGGGGGGGGGGGGGAATGTTCCAAAAAATGATTTCGTAATTTGTGAACGACCTCCTAGTAGTTACTATATATAGTAACTACTAGGAGGTCGTTCATATATATATATATATACACTACTAGTTACCATAGGTGCACAATTACAACTTTACAAGTTACCCTAGATAAAATACTAGTTACCATAGGTGTACAATTACAAGTTACCATAGTTACACTACTAGTTACCATAGTTACAGCGAGGTGCACAATTACAAGTTTTTGATAAACGCTTGCGCAGGAAATAAATTTACTAATAAATTTCATTACAGTAGCTTAACGTCCCCCCCCTCTCCCCTCTTAAATTAGAAAAGTAAAATTGGACAAACTACGTGATTTTAAAGGATACGCCGGTAAAATCTCTAAAAAATGTACAAAATATACTTTGGTTAATTCTTTCACAATTGTCCCACATTGAAATACCAATTTGGCGCACCCCCCCCCCCCCCCAAGGTGCCCCTCAGCGGACTATCACTGGATTTCAGCCCATAAATGGGTCAAGTACAGTAGTATGAATATTTTGATAGAGCCTAAAATCTGGGTATGTTGAGGTGATTTTGCATAATTGGACCAAAAATGGATCAAATAGGACTAAGAGCATGACTGAACAACGGACACTAAGTTTGGGGTCCGGCTTTGTAGTTGCTAGTAATACTATACCTCGAAAATAAGTTTCACAACAGTTTTAGGATACATTTTCCAAAAATTCTTAAATTAGGTGGCGCTAAACCAATACTCTTGAAGTTGTATCAATCGCTAATTATCGCTAATTATCGCTAATACTGATTTAGATTATGGTAGCAGTAGAAATATAATACAGACAAGAAAATAAAACTTATTGCCGCTATAAAATAATAACCATTTTCCAAGATGATGTAGCATATTTATATAGTAAAATTTTCGGTGCAACATCATACGTGTCCTACGTTTTATCTAAATTTATCTAAAAGTAAACATGATGAATATAAACGAATAACAATAGCAATTTACTAATTCTAAAAAATTAATTGTTCTTTCTTGAACAAAAGATCGAGCCCGTCTGGTTGACTTTGTAGGTTTACAACCTACCAGGACGCGCGCCGAGTTGGACTCGTCGACGGTCCTGGTAGGTAGAAATACGACTCAATTACGGCAGAAAAGTGCCGTAGATGCTGATTGGCTGAGACGTTTGCGCCAATAGGAGAGCTTATATTGAGTCACGTGAGCTATGCGCGGCGTAAAATCACTCTGCAGTTCGAAATTCTGTGATAAAATCGAGCGCTCATCAATTTTGTCTGGCTCTGTAACTTCACTTCCTCACGCAGTTTATAATCGATTCACTGTTGTTTTGTTCGCTGTCTATGACCGTATTGAAATTAAGCTTAACACTTGATAACAGATTCTATTCACTTCCAGCTTTAATTTGATCGCTTGCTGAGTTGCATGTCATTTGTTTGATTGTTTCCAGATTCAATCTGACCGGTGTATCATCAATCAATATTACGGTTCAGTCATTCAGTGGGCCATAAATAAGCTGCTACCTGCATATGCAGATGAACATTCGAATATTGTGGTGCATGCCAATGTAAATGAAGGTTTTTGTCGCTTACCTTAGTGTACAATTAATTTTGAAGATCAAACATATTTTTGCTATAGGCATTGTTGATGCGACCTAACCCGATCGTTTTTGCTATAACTTTATCCCTTGAACTATATGTTCAAGACTAGAATTTCGAGTTCTCCTTATGCTGCAGGTACTCCAAATATCGTATGATAATAATAATCTAAATCATTGGCTAGAAATGACGTGACACACTTGTAATCCAGTGGCAGTAATGTTTATTAACGGCATTACATGGAGTCCCTGTTCATTTTACCAAATAATGAACTGTGACTAAACTTCCAAGTTGAATTCTTTAACAATCTTAATACACAAATGGGTTCTTGTTACTATAAGCAAATCGTTCAGTACAAACTGAGTGTAAACGGATGTATGGGAATTGGGACACACCTTAGAAAAAATTATAAACTTAACACGTATGCAACGAGGAGCCCTAACGAGAACTGGTTCGGATCAAGTCATCCATAATGACCTGCTATACGACAATACAGTGATGTGAACCTTCACATGCTCGGTATCTCAATCAGCTAGCGGGAATAATATATAAACCCGCAACGCCTGTGTTAATCTTATACCACTATGTCTTCCTCATCCATCGAGTTTATTCCTGGCAGAAAGAAAGGCAGCCGCAACGTCCTCTACGATGGTCACCTCTACCACCTTAACAGAAAGAAGGAAGACAAGACCTACTGGAAGTGCAACAAGTGCAAGTCCCGCCTGATCCTTGTCCAGGACACCTTCTGTTCTGCTACCCCTCATGACCACGAATCTCAACCAGCACTAATTGCAGCCCACCGCTCCAAGTCTAAAATGAAGACCCTCGCAGCTACTACTGAGAACTCAACTAAGCAGATTGTTGCAGACTCTGTCGCTGGACTATCCTTCGAAGCCTCGTCCCGGCTCAACTGTGATCCCAAGTCCTTGGCACGACTAGTCAGACGAGCCAGACTGGCAGCCTACTCCCATCCTGTCAACCCCATCTCCAGACCTGTTTACTCAACTCTTCAGTAGGGATCACATCAAAGTGGTTAGGTCTAGATATTAGCGGTAGTGATTTAGTCCGGTAGTGATTCAGTCCGAAAATATACCTCAATCCCTACCAATAGTGATTGGTAGTGATTCAGTCCGGTAGTGATTCAGTCCGCTCACCGTGTATTAAAACATAGACCTCAGTTTGGAAAGTGAATCTTTTGAGTTTGTAAAGTAAATCTTTTGAGTTTGAACACCTCCTAGTTACCATGGTGATAATTCCAGAGATATCACGCGATTTGGTAACCAAGTAAATTGTTATAATTGAATGCGTAGAGTACACTAATCATTGGCTTTTACTTTTAGTGGCATTAATTTTTATTGAACTGTGACTAAACTTCCAAGTTGAATTCTTTTACTGGCCCCTCGGACGTTTCCATAGTAACAGACCTGATATAATAACGTGAGGGACATCAGTTATATATCGGTTATTAAATGTAAGGCTACTACGATTAACTATTAAGTGTTTCTAAGGTGTGTCCCAACTCCCAATTCCCATACATCCGTTTAGACTGAGTGTGTACTGAACGATTTGCTTATAATAACAAGAACCCATTTGTGTATTAAAACAAAGACCTCAGTTTGTAAAGTAAATCTTTTGAGTTTGTAAAGTAAATCTTTTGAGTTTGAACACCTCCTAGTTACCATGGTGATAATTCCAGAGATATCACGCGATTTGGTAACCAAGTAAATTGTTATAATTGAATGCGTAGAGTACACTAATCATTGGCTTTTACTTTTAGTGGCAGTAATTTTTATTGAACTGTGACTAAACTTCCAAGTTGAATTCTTTAACTGGCCCCTCGGACGTTTCCATAGTAACAGACCTGATATAATAACGTGAGGGACACCAGTTATATATCGGTTATTAAATGTAAGGCTACTACGATTAACTATTAAGTGTTTCTAAGGTGTGTCCCAACTCCCAATTCCCATACATCCGTTTACACTCAGTGTGTACTAAATGATTTGCTTATAATAACAAGAACCCATTTGTGTAAATATTACATTTTATCATACCTACTATTTAAGCTTCAATTATCCGTTGAACATGGATAATAAAACATAGACCTCAGTTTGTAAAGTAAATCTTTTGAGTTTGAACACCTCCCAGTTACCATGGTGATAACCCAGTATCGCTATAATTGTATAATCGAAACCGTAGAAAGTCCCCGGACAGTTTCATCTTTAAATATCTTACTCTTAGTTAATTAGTTTAAATCAGACTTATAGACAATAGATTACAGAACCCTTGATTTCATCGCCTTTGTACACTGCAGTACAGGAGTAAAACTCCTACATACAATCGGAAAATGATCTGACGGTGTACACTCTTTAAATGTATGATAACCTCCTTTTAAAATAAAATACATATTTTTAACAAATTTGCTGTTAATGAGTACTTGAGTATTTAGTATCCGTGTAAATAAGTCCTCTTTACTGGTTTTTGTCGTTGCTTAGTAACCTTAAAATGTGTGCTTTTAACGGTATAAATACGGTAAATATTTGACTCAGTGAGATTATCATGAACTAATACTCTTCAAAATTTCGTTAGCCAGGACTGATCTAGTGCAAGATGAAGTACTGTTAACTTTTAACGAGAACAAGCAGAGTTAAGTTTTCGTTATGGAGAATGGAGAATGTAAGCAAGTGATTTTTAAATATCATTTTCTACTGATAAGTTTTTAATTTATATTACAACAGGTAAAAACCGTCTTCTTCTCTGTTGGACGTTGGTAGGTTATACATTTGTGTCATTGTAAACTTAAAGTTAAATTATTTAAACGTAATTAAATTGATACATCTCACTAATTCAATATATTTATCCAGGTGTTTGGGCAGAGTCGGACAGATTTTAGAAAAGCGCTAGAGTACCATCCTGCAGAAGACGACGAACAAATTAGCACTTCTACATTTTACTAGAATATGATAGAGGAGTTATACTGTTATTCTCCCCTTTGCTTTTTCGCTGAAGCTCGTTTACGGACAACACTTCCCCTGGAACTGGATCACGATCACGAAAGATAAAACCCGAAGGTGACCTACTCTGATCTTGTTATCTCAGCTTCTCACAAAGTAAATTTATCATAATTTCCGCATAAGTAAGACAGTGCTAATTTAGTCGTTTACTATTATATGTTTCGATGAAATTTTTTTAAAAGACTCAGTTTCTAATGAAATAAAATCGTGAAATCATTTTCTAATGTCATTTATTGTTAACTTGAATGCAACTTGGTTGTGAAATAGGTTATTTTATTTCTGTGCAAATTTGTAGACTTATAAGTCAACTACTTGCAGGATAAGATTTTCAACAGAACCAAAACTCAAGAGCGGTACCCAAAACAAAGATGTGGTTTGCAAGTGAAGCAGTGGTCAAATATCCTGTTCAAACTAAACAGAATTCTCGTCAGATCCGGTAAAATTATAATGATTTGATAAAATTATCGATGCAAATGACAATCTTTTAGCTTACAAAATCAGTCAAGCAATCTTGACCATATTGTTGCAGATTTTGAACTACACCGCCGCAACCACATATAATGACCAGATTAAATTTTGAGACACAAATTTACACTTTCTGGCCTTTCGAGAATATCACGCTGTATCAACAAAAACATTTATACCTTTTGGTCGTTTAAATCGCCCTGGGCAGTGGCACTGCGAGGTATTGACAGCATATAGGAGCTATAAATTTGGTTTTCAATTGGATTAAACAAAACAATGCATGTTTCTCCGCCAGTATATTCCTACTAATATTACTATATATAAAGCGAGACGATATAAATCTGTGCCATTTTACTGACACCACGGCATCAACTTAAACGCGACTTTCCGCAAAAACCGGATGTACCATACAGTGTGTACCATAAAGTGTGTACCATACAGTGTGTACCATACAGTGTGTACCATACAGTGTGTACCATAAAGTGTGTACCATACAGTGTGTACCATACAGTGTGTACCATACAGTGTGCACCACAGTGTGCACCACAGTACACCAACCTAACTACAGGCTAGTAACTACCAACCTAACTACAGGCTAGTAACTACCAACCTAACTACAGGCTAGTAACTACCAATCTAACTACAGGCTAGTTACTACCAACCTAACTACAGGCTAGTTACTACCAACCTAACTACAGGCTAGTAACTACAGGCTAGTTACTACTAACCTAACTACAGGCTAGTAACTACCAACCTAACTACAGGCTAGTTACTACCAACCTAACTTCAGGCTAGTTACTACCAACCTAACTACAGGCTTGTAAATACCAACCGAACTACATGCTAGTAACTACAGGCTATTTACTACCAACCTTACTACAGGCTAGTTACTACCAACCTAACTACAGGCTAGTTACTACCAACCTATAACTACAGCCTTGTAACTACCAATCTAACTACAGGCTAGTAACTACTAACCTAACTACAGGCTAGTAACTACAGGCTGGTTACTACCAACCTAACTACAGGCTAGTAACTACCAACCTAACTACAGGCTTGTAACTACCAACCTAACTACAGGCTAGTAACTACCAACCTAACTACAGGCTAGTTACTACCAACCTAACTACAGGCTAGTAACTACCAACCTAACTACAGGCTAGTAACTACCAACCTAACTACAGGCTAGTAACTACCAACCTAACTACAAGCTAGTAGCTACCAACCTAACTACAGGCTAGTTACTACCAACCTAACTACAGGCTAGTAACTACCAACCTAACTACAGGCTAGTAACTACCAACCTAACTACAGGCTAGTAACTACCAACCTAACTACAAGCTAGTAACTACCTACCTAACTACAGGCTAGTAACTACCAACCTAACTACAAGCTAGTAACTACCAACCTAACTACAGGCTAGTAACTACCAACCTAACTACAGGCTGTTTTACATGATCGAAATTCTCCTATCTGAGCAGAAGTTTTGAATCTCAAAATAGGCCTGTTTATGTTACACACATTCTTACACTCAAATAACGTCGACATAATGTCGTTATTATTTTGTAATATTGTCATTGAGAGAATATAATATATAATATTATATACACACACTGTGGTACCATACAGTGTCCGCTTTTTACTTTATCTTTACATAATTTTGTTTGGCATCGTGATGTTATCGAGCATTTTAAAGGAAAATGTTAATACGAGATTTAGAGATATGTCATGTGCGTTATCGATCACTAATTATAGGCTATATAAGTAATTTTACTTCTACAGTCTACACACAGACATAACCCTTTATCAACTGTTATATAACATAATTGATTAAAGTATCAATGTCTGGCGAGATATTTGTTTCTGGACACTGAACATGTAGCGAGGAGCTGCACGTGGGCGAAATTTTCCCGCTTAAACTGTCTTGCGATACTAACTCTACACTTAGCATTTCATGCGCTATTATAAGGGAGCGTTCACATATGACGTCAGCAGCCAAGGGGGAGGCAGGAGGGGGTTGTGAAATCCTGACGGGAGGAGGGGGTTTGAGGGGGGGGGGGGGGGGGTTGGGTCGCTCAATGCTGAAGGGCAGGTGGTCAGCCGGCGCAATTCCCACAAATATATCGTCGCTTTTGGCAATAACGTCGTTTAAATTTTGATATTGTCACCAAGAGATTACAATGTCGTTTATCTCGTAATATTGTCATTGAGAAAATAAAAGTGTACACACTGTATGATAGCTGGGTTCATGCTACTACACACTAGTAGTACACACTGTGTGTTATAGTGGTACACACTGTGTGTAGTGGTACACACTAGTAGTACACACTGTGTGTAGTGGTAACTGGTACACACTGTGGTACACACTGTATGGTACCACAGTGTGTATATATATTATATTCTCTCAATGACAATATTACAAGATAAACGACATTATGTCGACGTTATTTGAGTGTAAGAATGTGTGTAACATAAACAGCCCTATTTTGAGATTCAAAACTTCTTCTGCTCAGATAGGAGAATTTCGATCATGTAAAACAACCTGTAGTTAGGTTGGTAGTTACTAGCCTGTAGTTAGGTTGGTAGTTACTAGCCTGTAGTTAGGTTGGTAGTTACTAGCTTGTAGTTAGGTTGGTAGTTACTAGCCTGTAGTTAGGTTGGTAGTTACTAGCCTGTAGTTAGGTTGGTAGTAACTAGCCTGTAGTTAGGTTGGTAGTAACTAGCATGTAGTTAGGTTGGTAGTTACTAGCCTGTGGTTACGTTAGTAAATAGTAGTTACTAGCCTGTAGTAAGGTTGGTAGTAACTAGCCTGTAGTTAGGTTGGTAGTAACTAGCCTGTAGTTAGGTTAGTAGTTACTAGCCTGTAGTTAGGTTGGTAGTTACTAGCTTGTAGTTAGGTTGGTAGTTACTAGCCTGTAGTTAGGTTGGTAGTAACTAGCCTGTAGTTAGGTTGGTAGTTACTAGCCTGTAGTTAGGTTGGTAGTTACTAGCCTGTAGTTAGGTTGGTAGTAACTAGCCTGTAGTTAGGTTGGTAGTAACTAGCATGTAGTTAGGTTGGTAGTTACTAGCCTGTAGTTACGTTAGTAAATAGTAGTTACTAGCCTGTAGTAAGGTTGGTAGTAACTAGCCTGTAGTTAGGTTAGTAGTTACTAGCCTGTAGTTAGGTTGGTAGTAACTAGCATGTAGTTAGGTTAGTAGTTACTAGCCTGTAGTTAGGTTGGTAGTAACTAGCATGTAGTTAGGTTGGTAGTAACTAGCCTGTAGTTAGGTTGGTAGTAACTAGCCTGTAGTTAGGCTGGTAGTAACTAGCATGTAGTTAGGTTGGTAGTAACTAGCCTGTAGTTAGGTTGGTAGTAACTAGCCTGTAGTTAGGTTGGTAGTTACTAGCTTGTAGTTAGGTTGGTAGTTACTAGCCTGTAGTTAGGTTGGTAGTTACTAGCCTGTAGTTAGGTTGGTAGTAACTAGCCTGTAGTTAGGCTGGTAGTAACTAGCCTGTAGTTAGGTATGTAGTACAGTATAAGCATATTATACTGTGTAGTAACACACACGTCACACACACTCATTGGCAAATAAACCACATTGTACAGTCTATCACACACTGTACACAAGTTATTGGAGTGTTTGAACGGTCCCTAACTATTACACACAACCAGTTCCTGTATCGTAAAATCGGATGTACCATACAGTGTGTACCATAAAGTGTGTACCATACAGTGTGTACCATACAGTGTGTACCATACAGTGGGCACCATAGTGTGTACCATACAGTGTGTACCATACAGTGTGTACCATGGTCCATACAGTGTGTACCATAAAGTGTTTACCATACAGTGTGTACCACAGTCCATAAAGTGTGTACCATACAGTGTGTACCATACAGTGTGCACCATAGTGTGTACCATACAGTGTGTACCATACAGTGTGTACCATACAGTGTGTACCATACAGTGTGCACCATAGTGTGTACCATACAGTGTGTACCATACAGTGTGTACCATAGTCCATACAGTGTGTACCATAAAGTGTGTACCATACAGTGTGTACCACAGTCCATAAAGTGTGTACCATACAGTGTGTACCATAGTACATATAGTGTGTACCATAAAGTGTGTACCATACAGTGTGTACCATAGTCCATACAGTGTGTACCATACAGTGTGTACCATAGTCCATAAAGTGTGTACCATACAGTGTGTACCATACAGTGTGTACCATAGTCCATAAAGTGTGTACCATACAGTGTGTACCATAGTGCATATAGTGTGTACCATAAAGTGTGTACCATACAGTGTATACCATACAGTGTGTACCATAAAGTGTGTACCATAAAGTGTGTACCATACAGTGTGTACCATACAGTGTGTACCATACAGTGTGTACCATACAGCGTGTACCATACAGTGTGTACCATACAGTGTGCACCATAGTGTGTACCGTACAGTGTGTACCATACCAATGTTCCAAATTTGTCCCAATAATCCTCCTAAGTTTCCCATATTCAATTTTGCGACCAATTTTGTATTATATTTTCGTTAAAGTTTCGTTTATCAGAATTATGTACACAATTATTAGCACACGTACCTGAATTCTCTCCAAGTGAAGTGGGCAATTAAAATAATATGTTTTTGTAATATTCCAACTTCATGACCGAAATGTTATCACGAGATGTACATGATGTTCGCTTACTTTGTCGATAAATGGTACATAAAAATGTAACCATTTATCGACAGAAATACGATATTTATGTTCCCGGAATAGTATAACATAAAAATGATTTGTTTGAAATAAAATATCTAATTAGCCGAGTTCTGATTATATCTTACCAACCTTCCCGATAACACCAGTTTGTATCTAAACATTTGCTCCTAATAGCAACACTGACGTAATGGGTTTTATTTTCAGTTACTGATGGACTGACCTGCCATTGTGTGATACTGATAGTTCGCCGAAGGATCTCTCTGACATGAAAACGGCTATACTGACGTCTGACAAAGTTACTCAGAATGTTCTTTCTTCTCTCATCTCTGACTCTCATTTTACTGTGCCGGAATGTCGTGCCCTTGTTATTTCTGGAAGATAAAGTAGGGCTGGAAGATAAAGTACTGCTGGGAATAATCTATACTCTATTTTAATGGTCTCCTTCTCCTAAAACTGTAAAACATACACTAGGTGAGGACATATTAGAATTTTTGGAATATAATTATATGGCTTACAAATACGATTTAGTCACACTGTAGGCTCAATATTGTGAATAGTCATAATTGTGGGTCAAGTTTTTGTAGTTAAATCAGTAATGCATCATGTCTTAACTCCCAAACCGTCTGATAAACCGAGTTTTGACCTCTTTGATCAATTAAAATGAATTATTTTCAGTTACTGCCAAAATGTTCTTCTACAAATCCTCTACAATGATGCCGAACGATTGAACTTGAAGATTGAGTTAATGTTCAAGATGTTGCTCCGATCAACAAATTTAAGATGACAATTCCAGTTCATAATGTTACACTGTGCACGGGATTTAGAAAGATAAACATTATGTATTATAATCCGTTGTTTCAATATTTTGTTTTCTTTGTTAATCACTAACTGATCGATGATCTAATTAGGTTTTATTTCTAACTTAAACTGTGATCTGAGAGAAGCTTTATCAGTGGGTAGTGTGCGTGCAGTACTGCGCCGTGACGTAATGGGACAAAAAGTACCTGCCAGCAATGGTCAACACCAAAAGCGCGGCGTACTGCGCGCGACCAACTATTTCGCCCGTACAATATATGGAACAGATATTTTACGAGTATCACCCGTTAAGGTTGACTACTTAATATAATATGAATATTTTTTAAAGAATATGACACTTTTACAAATTCAGAAATTTCTCCTCGTTTTAAATTTAACGCTAACGAATTAATTGTTCTACTTCCCAATCCCAACAAAAGATCAAGTCTGTTTGCAGTTTGGCAGAGTTTTTATTGAGCCTTTATATTTACTATCTATTAGTATTAACAAAAAACATGGACCCGGGACCGTTCGTTACTGACTCAGAAATAATATTCATATCTGATATCATCAGTCCTATAAACGGTTTAATTGTTCAAAGAATTTCAACAATATTTGTATAATAATTTAGCTTATGTTTACCTTGTCACACTATATATAATATAATATAATATAATATAATATAATATAATATAATATAATATAATATAATATAATATAATATAATATAATATAATATAATATAATATAATAATTAACATGTAACGGAGTAAATATGGACACTTGTCCCTTGCTGCTGTGTTTAACCAAATTTCCGAGTATCCAGTTGATAAGATGGGTACATACAACCATTAATTACCTATATATTTGACAACTTTTTTTGTTGAATGGTTGCATGCGCCCAGATTCACTTTGTCACACATCACACATTGACGGATGTTACTCGTCTAAATTTCTTCAAAGTAGCGCGCGCCGCTTTCTTCTCGATGCACGATGGTCGATGGCAAGTGCTACGAAGTAGCACGCGCCGGGCCAGACCATTAACAATGGTCAAGCGCCGGGCCAGACCATTAAAGATTTTTATTAACAATGGTCAAGTGATACTCTTAAAATATTTCTTTCAAACACAACACAAAACGGTCGACGAGTTCAACTCGGCGCGTGTTTTGGTTGGTTATGAACCTACAAATTCCTGAGCGTGACGATCTCAGGGTGAGTGTAAATCGTAGCGACTAGCGTTGTTACCATTGCTTGTTAAATAAACAAACCATTACTTTAGCTTTACGGCCTTGTTTACTTGGGGGCCAACTGCACGTGTTTTGCTAAAGCCTAAATCGAGGGTGCTACCGTGCTAAATCATTCTACAGTCGATCTTTGAGATTGTTCTAAAAGGGCCTCCGACAGTTGAAACCAACTTCCATCGATGTATTTCATATTTTCGGACGCTGATTCCGAATCACCCCCGCCCCCCCCCCCCCCCCCCCATGACATAGGGTTAAAATGCTCCCGGCCTGACGATATATTGGCGAAAAACTGTCTCGATCACGTGATATGACCTCATAAGGAAGTTAGTCTTATTTCTCGTTAGGGGTAGGGTTTCAGCATATGCTTTTGTTATTGTTAAGGATTGGGTTACTAATACGATTATGAAGAACCATGATTATGAAAAATGATTGATTATTGATGCTAATAATCAATTAATATCTTTAATCCGTCAAACTCTAAGGTAAACAATGTTATTACACTATTGAAATTTGTTCAGATATTTTCATTTATATAACAATGTTTCTACTAATACTATACCAATGAATATTAATCATCGTTTAGTAAAGCTATGGTCATTACCACATATTATGGTAATGTATTCACAATGATAATGATATACATATGAGCAAAGACATCATCGACAAGTCATCCAAGTAAATTCGAAGTATATTGAAATTGTATATCAGTAGCTCGAAATGTTTCAAATATCAATTAACATTAAGAAATCTGAAACTGAAATAGATTTACTCTCAAATATATTGCAATCGCAAACAGAATTGAAATAGATAAATTTTAAATAATGCGATATACACTTTACAGTAATGGATTTACTCCGCAACAAATCAATGCTTCGTAAATTCCTCAAGGTCACGAGTACTGAATAGTCAATGCTGTCAGTAAATTGAACTAAAAGTTAAAAGATTAAACGTTAACAAAATTAAAAATTCTAGATAAAATCTTAAAATCAAACACGATCTAAGTCAGCTAAAGTAAAATCTATAAAAAATAAAAGCGTCACTGCATCTACGTAAAGAGATTCAAATTTGTTACAAATATTGTTTCATCACAAATACGTAACGTCCATCTCATCTCTTTCGATTCGTTTTCTATATAATACCTTCAATCTCCTGCCGCCAAAAACATCCCGTCAACCATAACGACACATCAATCACACAACCCCGCGTGCTGCATCTCACGTGACGTCACACACTCTCACGTGACGTCACACAACCCCGCGTGCTGTCACAACTAACTCTCTTCTCTGATATATCTACCGCTGAACCGTCAAGGTCGTCACTTAAAACAAAGTTCACACACACACACACACTCCTCAAAACTTCTCTGCCTTGAATCTGTACCTCCGTTTGTTGCACTGCTCTTTCAGCACTTCTTCGATAACCGGGGAGCCACAGAAGAACACGGTGACTTTCCTGTGTTTCTCCGGGTCATCGATCTTGTCGAACACTTCGTCCCAGTCGGGCCGTCCCGTGTTGGTCTGAGCTTTGAGTCCGGTAATGTGGTCCTGTCCCTCAGGATTTCCTTCTCTCATTAGTTGCAGGGCGTACTGGAAACATTATTAATAACTCACACCCTCACAGGTATCTACAGTAGTAATTCAATTATTCGTTTTCTGGGCTCACAAATCCTTTCATTAAATCTAAAGTCGTCAAGGACGCACGGTTTGAGTATCTCCATAGCAACGCACGGTATGAGGTTTCAGTATTGTCATAGCAACAATACTGAGCGACCTACCGATAAATAAAAGCTTGAGAGAGATCTAAATTCTAAACTATTACCTGTAGGCCGACAGCCCTAAAGTCTTTCTTCGAAAGAGCGGATGTAAGGTAGATGTGAATATCCAGGAACCGTTCCTTTTCAACTTTCTTAGGAGTGCTTCCGTTCTCGTTTCCTGAACACAATATATATTTTCTTCGGATTTGCTAGCAGGAGTAATGATTACTGGATAATTTAGGAATAAATGGTCATGGGTTGAAACAACTGTTTTCACCCAGTAGCTAGCCAATGTAATATCAGTTCAACATCTATCAGTCATCATATCTGGAGAACCCCGGAAAAAATGTTCACTTTGATTGCTTAATTAATTAATCAATTATTTAATTACTGACCGTTTTGCCCAATTTCAGTTTTGTCAACTGAAACGTCGAGTTCTTGCAGCTCAATACCGTTCTCTGAAATTGTGGTTTAATTTGACATTTCTTCGGCGAGACAGTTTGAAAATAGATCCTTTGAAACAGAGACAAGTTCGAAATTCAATACATAATTAAAAAACACGGTTAAGTAAACATGGGCACTCCTGGATTTTGCCACAGATTTCTGAGGAAAAACATTCAACGACAACAGCGACACACTCAAAACAGACCACTGATGCCAGTGAGATCCAATTCCAACTTTTGTTTCTCAGCTATAAACGCAATAATAAACATGATATGTACCATCTATAATAGTGGTTGTCGTTGTCGTTGTTGTGGTTGTAGTGGTTGTGGTCGGTTTAACATCCAGCTGTTCTGTAGTTATGGTGTTACGTTGTTAGGAGTCATATTATAATGGTCAGTTACTGTTAAAGTAAACACGTAGTTATTATTGAATTGTTGCATCTTTACTCTCAAAAGATAACTGATAAAACAGCTCTACTCACTCTTTGAAGAGTCCTTGATGACCTTAATGGCTGGGGTCCTACTCTTCTTTCTGTCGTATATGGTAGGTTGTGCGGTGTGGTCAGGGTTGTGTTCGTTGAACCGGTCCATCACCTCCTCCAGACGCTTCAACAGTTCCAGGAACCACTGTAAACTCTTCTGATCCCTCGTGATCCACACGAAGTCTAACTGTTAGAACAGGGTGTTAGTTAAAGTTCCAGTTGTGGGGTACACGGATACACATCAGTTTACAGGTTTACTGTAGGAACTGAAGATAGTTCTTGAAACCTTTAATTTATATGAGGTAGTTGTTCCCGAAACCTTCAAATATCTTCTTCAGTTCTCCGGACGATAAGAACCGATCATTAGGTTTTCGATTTTGTTTGATTTTAACTTTTTACTGTAAGAAAACCTACCAAACCCCTACACTCTACAGTGAAACCTAAATCCAGATTCAGATTGGCGCACAACCCTAGCCCCATAATTAGTTAATTACTCATATACACAAAACTAATTGACTAATTGAGCAGTGCTGAGTAAGTGGAAATTGTATGATTTCCAGAAACTGGACTACACTTACCTTTTTTATTTTGATGTTGAACGTTCCGTGATCATTCCAATGATTACACCTGGAACAGAAACATCCACTCTGGTTGTACTTGTCGACGATCGTCTGTAGTATGGAAGCAAACGGAGTGACCCCTGAAAAATTATTCGTTTCAAATTCAAGAATTATTTCCATATTGTTCGCTGATAACTGTGTTATTCTAAATCAAGTGCCCAAATATAGACTGAATAATAATTGATTTTGTTATATCCTTATCAACATGGCAAAATACGGGGTATAATAACCTATTCCAGCAGCAACCAGTACAGCATGTTCACTCTCAAATATCTCTGTAGCAGGTGTACCGTATGGTCCATCAATGTAGCATTCTAGATCTCTCTTCTGGAGCCGTCTGAACAACATCATTAACTTATATAACATTAATAATATAACGTTTACTATGATGAAATGTTATAATTATAACACGAATAAGCTTAATCGTAAGATAATGTAACGACAGAATCGTAAAAAGGAGCTAACGTTAACGTCTGCCACAATGTATTGTCACAAATAACAGTAACCCAAAAATGAAATCTTGTTGAGTCCTGCTATCAAGCATCAACCCTTACCCAAAGTTTTTGAGGTATGCATATTTTTCAGAGTCTCTACTCAGATACCGTTCATTTATACTCCTCTCCAATTTCAACACTGCCTCCCCGTTTTCAGCGATCCCGTTCTTCTCCTCCAGCTCCTTTACCTCCCTTCTTTTCTTGTATTCCTGGTCAGTTGCTAACTCCTCGTATAATTTCTTTGTCCAACCTCGCATCATTCTGGTAGAGTATTTTTCATCATTGAAATGCTATAGTTATAAATTTCACCGTTATGAATTCTTTTCTAACAGAAAAACTGCAAACGAGGTTTATCTTACGCGGAACACAAAATAGAGTTGAACCCTTAACTTCTGGGATGACTATTTAGATCCGTGTAGTCGCAGTTTGAAAGTGAAATAACTTACTTGATATGGAACGTTATCTTTTCCCTGTCTTCTGAACTAGAAGATATTGTGAAGGGATGTTTTTCATATCCCGTAATAAGAGGAATCGTCAGGAAAGCGTAGGATCCGGAGTGAAAGTTGAAAGTTGGAGGTCTGGAAATGTGTAATTCTACCACCTAAAGAGTTCTGTATAGTTTTAGCTATTTGGGAAAATACCTAACTTTGGTGACAATCACACAATACCAGTCGTGTAACATAATTGTCCTAACCTTGACCATTAGGACTCCTCGGACTACATTAAATAGATTATTTTTGTAACTGATTGATTGATTGAGGAGCACTACCCAGAGGCATTACTCGGCACTAACGCCTTAAAATCTTTAATTACAATCAAATATAAATATATGCACACAATGTATAAAATATGAATAATGTATAAAATATGATTACGCTATTACTATTAGCAAATTTGAATAGTACTACTATTAAGAATTTGTAAATAACTCTTATCTCTTGACATAAATTTAGAACAGCGACACAGGGTCTGAAGAATGCGCGGTGATATTTTTGTCTTTTAAATGACAGTGAAATTGCGCGGTAGCGATAGCATTGTAGAAAATGCTCGAAGATAGTCATATTTCGTTATGAGGTTAAATTTTTGTTGCTCGTTATTATCAACGTATGTTGTACCAAATTATTTAAATTTCTAAAAGTACGAAATTTGAGTTGTTCCAGTCCTTGTCATCCGGGTTAAGTGCTTGTGCAGTAAGCACATGCTTGCTGACTGTAGACTTGAATAAATTTAGGAATTTGTCTTGTAGGCAAGTCGTGACATATTTTATGTCCTTGTTAATAATGTTGACTGTTTTGTTGTATAACTTAGGCCCAATGTAAGAAATGCTCTTGTCTGAATTACATAAACGGTTAAATGGTACTGCAAAGAACTCAGGTTCTCTTCTAGGTGCGTTTAAGTTTGAAACAGTGAACATTCTTATAATATTTGGTGGTGCAGTGTTAGAATAAACTTTGTGCATTAAGCATAATATACATTTAGCTATCACGTTCGGTAAAGCTAATACTTCTAGTTTATTGAAAATTTCCTTTGTGTGTGAAGGTGTGCTGTTCAGATCTTTGTCATAAAAATAGCGGTGGTATTGGTTATCTGCAGCGCGAATGCCCTTTTTCTGGGCCGAGAAGACTCTTTTAACGGAGTTTAGCGATCTTGTTCCCCAAACTGTGCAGCAGTAGTACAAGTGAGACTGAACAAAGCTGTTGTATATCAACTTGAGTGCTTTGTTAGGTACAGAGCCTTTGAGTTTGTAGAGTATGCCCGCATTTCTAGATACTTCCCAATAAATGTAATAGATGTGTAATTAGTACGAGACCGTTGCAAATATTTTACAATTTCCATGTAGACGGAATCTGACTTGAACTCACGTTCGAAGGTAAGACCTTGTAGTTTAAAATCCTAAATTTTCCGTACAGTGTTCGTTTGATGAAGTTCATATTCGCGATTTTCTCCATCGCATAAACAAAAAGTGGGAGAAAAATCCACTTCCAAGCATTCTGACAGTGAAGTATGACACCAATAGCCAGCAGCCAGTAGCTGAAGAAATGAACCCAGTAGAATTGCTGAAATGATAGATATTAGGATATTAGCTGAACACAGAGACGTATTCGTGTTGTTTGTTTGTTTGTTTGTTTGTTTGTTTGTTTGTTTGTTTGTTTGTTTGTTTGTTTGTTTGTTTGTTTGTTTGTTTGTTTGTTTGTTTGTTTGTTTGTTTGTTTGTTTGTTTGTGTTAACCAAGCGTATATTAATAGATCGCCTCCACCCTATTTTTCTACCCTGTTCATAAATCATTTCCATTTTTCGTAATCCACGCCTAAACATGACTGGAAAAATAAATTTGCTACACAGGTAGTTGTAGAATTACAAATTAAAATAGCATGTGACAATCTAACAGGATTCTTACCGAGAACTTGCCGCTTCGTCGCACACAAGACTGTGCAAATGGGATCATGACACAGAGGACTATATCCAAGAAGACCCCGGAGATATAGGAACCTCCGAAATACCCACCAGCTGAAATTAATGAGGATCAGTTGGTTATGAATGTGTTATGTGGCATTTAGTCAATCAGACTGCATCTGAATTTTCCACACGTTCCTGAACTACAGACAAATTAACAGCATACAATTGAAGTCATTGTAGATTCTGAAAGCATTGGGGGTCAAAGTTGGATCACTGTCAATATAGTTCACTTCCCCGTTCCAGTATGCACATATTTATAAATACAACTCATGAAACTAACCTGAAAGAACAAAAGAATAGTTCACAGGACTGGTCTTATCATCAGGGATATCTCTATTCTTATCCACATTAACAAGGAATGTGAACACGTGAGCAGCAGTGTGGATCAGAGCAAACGTCACATAAACATAGCCCAGTAGCTTGTGTATGTCAACTATGGAGTCCAGAGCGAAGAACTTGCCAGCGGGGGTGTTCCTTATAGAGGTTAACACCCACCGGCACATACTGACGAACAGCAGTGTAGTTGTTAGGTTCAGACACTTTCCTGCTCCCTTTGCTATCATTAACGCAGGGTATGTGTCTCTGAAACAAAATCTGAGTTACAAGGAAATGGTTATAAATTTTGGATTATTGAATAACTGGTAAATCGTGAAGTTTCTGATTCCAAGTCAGATCTCAAAGTTTTTCTATGCGAGGTGTTACCAAATGTTATCGGGGTTTTGCTGTATAAGAAACACTTACGAGTAGTAAATGACCCCGACTGCAAACACTATGATATACAGCAGGATTAAAACTGAGATGTTAGATATCAGGACTATGTTGTTCTTCAGATAGTTCTTCGAGAAATATTTATCGGTGAAATCTTTTACTTTGTCAGAATACTTTTTGGGTTTCTCAGGGAGCACCCATCCTTTAGGACTGAGGACATTAAGTTTTATAAAGGAGCAGACACTTTTATTAATGCTGTTTATTCAACACATACCGAGTATCAAAATAATTATATATTATAATAGAAAAATCAAAGGTCAGAAGGCAGAAAACATGTAGAAAAGAAAATGAGAAATTTGGAATGTACTTTATTTCGAGGTTGTTTGTGAAAGGTTTAAGGATATTGTAGAACTCATCAAAGGAAATGGCTCCGCTCTTATCGGCGTCTGCTTTGTCAAACAGCGTATCAGCTAACGCCTGCACGTCCTTTAAATCTGAATGGATGGAGGTCAGACCACGTGATATGACGTCATCACGTGATATGACGTCATCACGTGATACTGGAATTAAACTGGAATTAAACTAGGCTATCCACTCCGATAATCGTAACCGATAATTATCTCCGATAATTCGTTAAAAAAAGTTATCTGTTTATCTAGATAAAACATATTTTTATCGGTATAAAAATTCACTAGATATTACCGAAAATACTGCCACAATACCGTAAAATTGTAAAGAAATATTAGTGTTTTTGCCTTCCCAAGTAATCCAAGAAACAGTCCCAAACGTCTTCTAGTATGATAGAAGAGGTAGTTTACTTAGATGTGAGCTTAAGAGGTTTATTTACATTTGTATACCTATGGAACTGTAGAACTGTATGAACTGTAGAAATCTAGAGAAGGTTATTGACATTGTTCTCTTGAGGGTGCTGGCGTTTTACCTTACAACCATTCTGGAGACAGGAACGAGCATGTTACTGTTAACAAGAGTCAAAAATACCGGCAGGGCACTCAATTGAATTCCGTAAGTGTTCTGGGCGTGAAACATTGTCTTCAGGAGAAGGAATCTGTTGCTCCAAGTTATCGACAGGATAAGAAAACGGTTCACTGAATCACTTTAAATGCTTTACTGTTTCGAGGAGAATTGGTATTTGGTGCACTACTGTTCTCAGGAGAAGGAAACCCTTGGTCTACTGTTTTGAAGAGAACTATTGCGTTACTGTTCTCAGGAGAAGAAAACCGGTGGTCTACTGTTTTGAAGAGAACTAGTGCGTTACTGTTCTCAGGAGAAGGAAACCAGTGGTCTACTGTTTTGAAGAGAACTAGTGCGTTACTGTTCGCAGGAGAAGGAAACCAGTGGTCTACTGTTTTGAAGAGAACTATTGCGTTACTGTTCTTAGGAGAAGAAAACCGTTGGTCTACTGTTTTGAAGAAAACTGGTGCACTTCTGCTCCCCGGAGAAGAAAACTGATGCTCTAATATTTTCAAAAGAAAGGAAATGGTACTTTAGCAAGATTACTGGTAAACAGTAATAAAAGTCGACAATTAGTTTTTGCGAAATTTGGAAAACATTTTGGCTTTGGCCTTCAGCAGAAAAATTATCGGTTTTATCGGTTTTATCTAGATAAAACCTAAATCTTTATCTGTTTATCTAGATAAAAGATTTCATACCGATAATGGATAGCCTAAATTAAACTTAAATAGTCAGAGGGAACACTAACGAACCCGTCGTGACAATACATCAATGAAATAAATAACATAATTATAAAAAAAAAAAAAAAAACCATAAATAAGACCCAAAACACGTAAAAAAATTAACTTCACTACAATCTGTACGAAAAGGAAACAAGATCAAATATAATAATTTAACCGGATTAAAGTGGGTAATGCACCGATAAGGTAATAAATTATGCAGGAGAGGTTCATAAAATTCACAAAGTTACTCCAAAAGTCAAAAATACACTATCAAGAAAGATTACACACAAACTCAAAGACGGGCGTAAATTATGCAACTGTAACTCCGAATGAAAACAGTTCGAACACTCATTTAAGGGACACTGGGGTAGTTAGAATGTCCTTAGGACAGTGACTCGGAATCATTACCGGATGTGTTAGATCAAGTGGAAGACGATGTTGGTGTCTTTTTCGGATTTCTGATGCGATGACAGCTGCTGAGAAACTTGCCCAGTTCTTCTATGTGGGCTGAATTCATCATGTCTTTGTAGTTCCTGAGAAGTAAAAGCCCTTTGAGGTCATCTGAGAGAGAAGATCAGTAAGGCAGTGTTCCTCGTCTTCAATAATCGTGCCTTCAAAGAAGGGAAGGTATTCGAAGCCGAGAACGTGATCCTTATCGCAGCAGAATCTGCATGCTCTTGGCCAGACTCCGGCCTCCTTCGTGTAACGCCCTCGTTCTATCATCAGGTCGTGGCTGCTGGAGCGGATTTTAGCTGTATTCGTTCGGAATTGCCTGCTCTTCAGATTGAGGTACTGCTCTTCTCCAAATTCCTCCTTGATTTGGTTGTAGAACTGCATCTTGGTTTGCGATCCCAGGTCCACCCTCCAGTCACTGATAAAGACATCCCTCATGGTGCCATGAGCTGCTTTTGTTTCATAATGAGCCACAGAGCTAAGTTTCTCGTACCAGGAGAGGTTAAGATTTTCCTGTTCCTGAAACGCTTGAGATACTAAAAAATTGACACTGTTCATCTCAGAAGAAGCTCTGGAAAGTCTTCCAAAATATCTGAGGCATTGTGGCAGAACTGAGAGGGCCCAGGGCATCCTTCCTGTATCCCCGTAACAGAAGTTGTTGTTAGTTTTCTTGTGCACACCCAGTACCCATTTCAGCATTTTGAGGTGTGTTGTCTCAAGACTGTCTTTTGCTGCAACTTTTGATAGGTTGTGTCTTTGGCTGGGTTCACGCGCCATTTCTTTCATGAGGTGAGTCGAGGGTAGCCATATCTGACAGGCGTAAGTTGCTACCGGTTTCACCAGACAGTCAATTAGCTTTAGCATGGTTTTGGTGGTCAGAGCTCTGGTGTCTACCATGCGTTTTATCGAAAAGAATGCTCGAAGCGCCTTCTTCCTCAGTTCGTTCATGGCGCATTTAAAAGATCCATTGAGGCTGAGCTGGATACCTAGATAGCAGTAGGACCTTGTTGGAGAGATGTCGAGCTGTCCAAGCTTGAACCCGTACGAGCAGTTTAGCACCCGCGAGCTTGAGTTGAAGACCATTATTTTAGTCTTATCAATGTTGATAGATAGCTCCCATTTGCTTGCAAATTCATTTAGGCAGTCAAGCTCTTTCTGAAGGCTTTGGTGGTCGAGAGCTAAAAGGATGAGATCGTCGGCCCAGAGCAGGTGGTTGACTGGGAAGCCATTAAGTTCAGGGACAGAGAGATCTTCTAGGGCTGCAAGATAGATGGAGAGGTCGTAGATGTATATTTTAAACAATTCAGGAGACATTGGATGCCCTTGCTCTGTTCCAATGGTGACATCAATGGTCTCCGATAGTTTTTGGATCAGTTTGATGCGGGTCACCGAGTTGCTGTACATGTTCTTAAGGCAAGCGAAGAAGTTCCCTCCGATACCAAGGTGATTGAGTTTATACATGAGTGCTTCTCTGCACACCGTATCGAACGCTTTCCGGTAGTCAACAAAACAAGCAAACACTCTCTTTTTGAGCTTTTTCGTGTATTTCTCAATGATTGTGGTAATTGTAAGGATGTGATCCGAGCACTGTGCACCCGCTCTGAAGCCAAGTTGGTGGGGGAAATCGGGGCAGATAACTTTGCGGAAGTCGATAAGTCTTTCAAGGAGAAGAGAAGCAAATAGCTTCCCTAGACAGCTTCCAACAGTTATTGCCCTATAGTTGTCAGGGTTCTGTTTGTCGCCCTTCTTGTGGAGAGGGGTGGTTATCGAACAATTCCATGGGTAAGTCCCCTGTTCCAGGCAGCCGTTGAACAACTTGAGAAGAACTTTCCTTAGGCAAAGTTTGGAGTTCTTGAGCATCTCGTTCGATATTAGGTCCAGTGATACGCTCTTGTTGTTTTTGAGTTTGTTGATCACCTTTTCAAGCTCTTGTAGAGTGAACTCCATGTTAAGATTTTCCACTTCAGTTGGTAGGTCAGGGTGGCTGCTCCCATCATTGCTTGCGTTGTGGGCTTGAAGTTCACGGTGGGATGGATCCTTGCACTTTTGGTTGTAGAGGTCGTTGAAGAATTTGTGAAAAGCAAATAGGTCGTACAGATCGAACGTCTCAGGATCTCTACAGGAGGACGAGAGATCTTTCAGAGCAGACCAGTTGATGTCATTGCCATTGTTTATTTTCTCGTTCAGTTGAAAGAGATATGCGCCTTTTTTGGATCGAACTTGAGCCCTGTATTCCTTTTTTCGGAGGTAAAACTTAGCCCGAGTAGGTTCCACTAGCATGGGATCAATGTAGGGGTTGTTCTTTACTCTTTCGATCTTGCAAACTTGACGTTTTGCCTTTCTGCAGTCCCAATCGAACCATTTGTTTTTGTTAGTGTGAAGACGGCCACTTTTTTGGGTAGTGACCTGGCTGGCTAGGTTAATGTAGGTTGTAATCACAGAGTCATTGTATTTTCGAATGTCTTCGGGGCAGGTGATGTCATTTGCTAGGAGCGATTCGACCTTCTGCATGAATTGGGCATCATTCTGGGCCGACTTGAACTTTTCTGATGTACCTAACCCAGTGCTAGTGTCTCTGGTCCACTTGAAGGGCTTCGGCACTGGTGCTAGTTTCCGTTCACGTTCTTTATAGAGGTTGTCATCAAGAAGATTCACCCCATGGTTTGTGGTGAGGGCGGTTGATATCGGTCTGTGGTCTGAGTAAGGTGTGATATCGCCCACATGGAAGAACCTAACCCGATGGTGGATATCTCGTGAGACACAGATGTAATCAACAGTGCTGGCTCCGTGACGTTGAATGCATGTATGGCTACCGAAAATGTCTCCAATAGTCCTTCCATTAAGAATTATCATCCCTGCTGTTTGGAGAAGCTCAATGAACGGTTTGCCATTCGAATTCAAAGTTCGGTCCTGATTGTTTCTTGGTGTCAAGGCTGTTATGAATTGAGGAGGGTCGAGATCGACATGTATATTCCTAGATTCGCAGGGAATAAGAAAATCTTTCAGAGTACCGGTCCGTGCGTTCATATCTCCAAGTATGGCGGCATCTTCTGTGTCGGGAATCCTGGATAGGCACTCCTCAAGTTGTTCGCAGGTAGTGATGTATTCCTCGGTATTCGAACGTATACGTTTTTTATACGAACCGTGTGCTGGCGAGTCGTATACATTGATAAGGTTTAGGTCCTTGTCAAGATTAAAGTATTTGGCTCTTAGCTTGACGATGAGTATGTCGTCACAATCTGGAACGTGGACTCTAACAGCTCCAGCTGCTAGGTGTTTATGAATCGCCGTACATACACCGCCTGAGTTTGTTCCTGTCCTGTTAGCATTGAAGCATTTGAAGTCACGTAAAGAAACTTGCCCTTTAGTTTCTTGCAAGCAGATAACGTCGTGACTGTTAAGGAGCTTCTGAACTTCATCGATTTCAAATTTGATACCTTCAAACTTGTCACGCTGATGGTTGATGTTCCAGCTCATCAGCCTAAGGCAATTGCGTGTGTCCCGGTTTTTACTCATCTTTGAAACGGTTCGAGCTGCGTTTTTGACGAGGATTTCCATCGTGGCTTTGGTGAGGAATGCGCATCGTCTTCTTAAGTCCTTCACGAAGGCTGACGTAGAGCATTTTTTCGCCTCTGTCATTTAGGGTGAATCCAGTGTTGATTGAATAAATGTTCTGGTTGCCGACCAGGTCGTTAGCAAACGTGAATATGCGTGAACGAGCGGTTTCGCTTTGTCTGTGGAACCAGCTAACATTGCTTTTAATTTCGTTGTTAACAGCTTTGATTCGCTCGTTCATTTTCTTGTCATTAGAGGTTGGAATGAAAAGGGAGAAACATATCTGAGCTTTGCAGGTCTCCAGGAGATACTCTGCGAGTTCGTGGATAGCTCCAGATGGGATACATTTCCTCTTCGTAAGGTCGTTGATACCCAGGTGAACGTAAATACAGTCTGGTCGTAGCTTATTCAACTTCTCGTTGAGCTGTTTTCGTTTCTTTGCTAGGTTTTCGAGACTTGATGCCCCGAATTGGTGCACATTGAATTGAGAACTGAAACTACGTGGATTGAACTTGTCAAAGTTACTATCGTGTATGAGAAGTACCGTGTGCCTACGATAGATATGAGAGTTCCTGGTTCCAGTTCCTGTGCCTGGTCCGACTTCCCGAGATTGTGAAGTTGAGGATGGTACATGATTTTCACGCCGATGAGGCATGCGGCTATCATTTAGAGAATTGTCTGGGCGCTCTTCTTGAGCTTGTTCGTTCTGGACAGTTGTCATGCGGCCACCATTTTGAGACCCGTCTCGTCCCCCAACAGTGGGTGAGTTGGTGCGTTTATTGCCTCTGCTGCCGTTCTGTAGCCGCTCACTTTGGCTCGGTTTTCTCTCACGGTGGTTTTTGTTGTTACGTTTGTCTGCTTTTGTAAACGGATTTCCGCTGTTAGCTGCCGATATTGAGGCCCAGGTAGGGGTTCCTGTTGCATTCGGACCATTACTTTGAACGTCCCGGGTAGCAGTGTCAGGTTTGCTTATATGCGTTACAACGGGCTGTACGTCATTTGCAAGGACAATTGCTACATTCTCATGGTTAGTCTCAAGGGCCTCAATTCTTGTCCTGTTAGATGAGCTTACAGTGTCAAGTGACTGAAAAGCGTTGTTGAACTCGTTCCTAAGCGAATCGATTGAGGCGATCGTTTCATTCTTAGCAGAACTTACCGTGCTTCTAAGAGCTTTCTTCAGTTTATCTTGCTCGAGCTCTAGATCTTCAAATCGCCTCTTGGAGGTGCTACTCGCTTTTTCGAACGTTTTGACGCTGTCTGCGACCTCGGCTCTAACTTCCTGTAGTGATTGAATCTCTCTGTTGGCTATGATCTCGAGAGTTCTATTTTGTTCATCAACTGCATCCCTGAGCAAATTGAGGTCAACCCTAAGTTGTCTCACTTTGTCCTCCAACGGGCTAACCTTGCTTTTGACGATACAGTCCATGTTTTTATCTGAGATTGTTGGGGATGATACAATCAGATCAGATAGTGCCTTTTGCTGCAGCATCTCTTCTTTAATGGTGCAGATGCTTTCCTGCAGCACAGTCACTGCCGTCCTGAGCTCAGAACAGTTGCTGCATTCCGTCTTCGCCAGGCGGTCCTTTTGAGGCGGGTAAAGGTCTGATGGCACGTCTTTCTCGACAATGCTTTCAGTGGGCTGCCCACCAGGTTCAATGATGTCGTGAGCAGTTGGTTGGCTGTTGGCATAAGGCACGCCACAGGAGCTCCTTTGGCTTTTCTTTTTCTTCTTCTTTGCTTGCTGCCGCTTCTTCTTTGAGTGAGATTGGACAGAAGGAAAGTCGAACTTTGTCTCTGTGCTGCCTGTGTGGGGAGCTTCCGGAGTAATGAAATCTTTCACGTTCCTTAAACAGGGACTTCCACTTGGCTGACCTCCAGGAGATGTTGTAACCTGAAGCTGTGAGGCATTGTTATGTCTTGTGTCTCCGAATACTTTCTTTCCTGGGTTATCGAAAACAAGTTTGACCACATCCTTGACGTCTCTTGACTGAGTTTTGCAGAATGAAACCAGTGCTCTCTTTCTTTCTTGGGCAGAAATGCTTAGAGGCAGATGATTGGCAAGAAGCTCCATTCTGATGATGTTATCTTCAAGCTTGTTGATGAGGTGAGTGACCAAACTCACTGTGTCCTTACTTCCAATAGATTCGCACTCCTTGAGTAAGTCACAGAGTATTCTCTTGTTGTTAGAGACATTGCTGGAACTTTTAATACCGAGAGATGTGATCAGAGAGGTAAGGGTTGATTTCTTATATGAGCTTGCCGCTCTCTGGAGGAGATCGAGGGTGATGTATTTGAATGTTATTGAGACATCAGTGTTTGGATTTGGATCACCGTTTACCGACTTACCTTCCTTAGAGTCGGAGGTACCGGGGGTTACCTTTGCTGGGTGTGTCGTTTTCTTACCGGCAACAGGCGGTTGATCTGTACTTTCCAGGTTCTGAGTTTGACGTTCTTTAGGTGACGCAGATGTATCCAAAGCAGATGCAGTGAAACAAGGGTCAGGAGGAGGTGGACTGTTTGAGATATGGTGAGCTGTTTCCTTGGTAAACGCAGGTAGACTGACGGCTGTTTCTTTAGCTGATGCTGGTGTGGTTACGTCAGCAGCAGGAGGCTCAGTTTCGTCCGGTTGCGATTCTGTTGCTTGTAGAGTTTCTGGTTCATCACTAGCTTCTACTACGTTTTCGTCGCCGCCCTCATTTTTCTTTAGCTCAAATGTCTCGATCGTAGTTATGAGTAGGCTAGCAGATGTTTCAGTGGTAGATACTGGTGGTGTTATATCGGGAGTGGGGGGTTCAATGTCGCTGATGTTGAGCTGCGATTTCGTTGTCAGTGAGGTTGCTGAATCATCTCTGACTTCTGGTACATCTTCGACATAAGGAATGATCAGGACTTGTTCATCTCCGCTATCGCCTCTTTTAGTCTCAGGAGGGAAGTAGCAGTGAAGGTGTTTAGTTTACTCGGGGAACAGAGTAACTAGGCTGAAGTTGCCAAGGCTCACATCACAGACTTCGGTGGCCTCTATGGCTGGGTTAAATCGGAGGGGGGTGATGCTGAGGTCTCTAGGCTTTCCGATATGGAGGATGACAAGAGGCATATCATCGTCTTTGTGTGTGTTCTTCAGCGGCATTCTGGAGGTCCTGTCAAATGAGTAGACAATTCTGAGGCCGTTGAACAGGAGTTTTTTGTTTCCTAATGCTCCTAAACGGGTGTTGATGACTGCGAGCAAGGCTTTCAGAAAGTTTTTGTCTTCAGGGTTGCTAGGGCTGGATTTTTTTGGTTGCAGACCAGATTTGAGGTCATTGCACAGTGATCTAATAACACTCGGGCGCCAAAACAGTTCAGTGCAGCTTGATATGGATTGACCTGGTGTGATTTCTGGGGAAACTTCCCGAAGAGCGTCTTTAATCGCTGATCACGTGATATGACGTCATCGCGTGCTATCATGTCATTGTTAAAGTTAATTGGACCGCTGGGGGAATACATTACGTGAAACTTTATAACAAAACGAGCGCTAAAATTAGAAGTTTTTCAAAATATCAATTTGCAATCCTTCTGATCATGATTAATTAACATTCATGACCCATTTTCACAAAGTTAAGTTTAAAACTGACGAATAAAATAATAAACATACAATACTACAGTAGCGTTCTTACCTAGATTGCTCTCCTTGGTGCAAATCTCGATACACTCCCTCATCTCTCTCCGATCTATTTCTCCACTGTCTAAAACATTGGTACGTTAGAATAACTTTTATTCAAAAACAGGTGCTATCATACCTTAAATACTTCTTGATAATAATACTACTTAAAAACTTCAATATCTATAAAAAATTTCTGTGATAATCGCAGTGTCTCTCAGTTCAAAAAGATAGAACTAATAAAGTAAAACCCCCGGAAATTTGAATCACGAACCATCGTCGTCGTATATCCTGAAAAGGAAATGCAACTTGTCCTTGTTGATCTTAGCCATCTCGTCCTCGTTGTCAGATTGCTTCATCAGTTTTCCGAGCGACTCACAAAACTCTTGCAAGGATATAGAGTTGCTCCTGTCCTTGTCACAAATACTAAACATCTTCTTCGTAAAGTATTCCTGGTGGAGTGAATTTTGATGGAATGCGCGACGTAATGTATAAAGATGTGTATACGCTTAATCTAAAGTTCTGTATAAAATTATTGGCTGTTGGCTTGCCACATATTATATGAAAATGATTAAGCTGTAAAGGTTATGACATGATAAAAGTGATCTTACTTGTTTGTTGTATATAACTTTCTTGAACTCCTCGTAGGTAATATTTTCAGGGTCTTTGGCGTGTTGGTGAAACATGTTCTCCAGATAAGCTAGAATCTTCTCGTCACTTCCCATCCTGCAATATATCGTTGTCACGAGACGTCAGTTCGCAAAATAACGAACGAACGAACGAACGAACGAACGAACGAACGAACGAACGAACAAACGAACGAACGAACGAACGAACGAACGAACGAACGAACGAACGAACGAACGAACGAACGAACGAACGAACGAACGAACGAACGAACGAACGAACGAACGAAACGAACGAACGAACGAACGAACGAACGAACGAACGAACGAACGAACGAACGAACGAACGAACGAACGAACGAACGAACGAACGAACGAACGAACGAACGAACGAACGAACGAACGAACGAACGAACGAACGAAACGAACGAACGAACGAACGAACGAACGAACGAACGAACGAACGAACGAACGAACGAACGAACGAACGAACGAACGAACGAACGAAAGAAACGAACGATCGAACAAACGAACGAACGAAAATTGGATGGACAATGGACATCAAGTTGAGACTTTGGATGAACTTTCAAAGAAATGTTTTTGAGCACACCTCACACAAATAGCTTCTAGTGCACATTAACAAACTCATTATTCGTACCTTTTTGCAAAAGTGAAGATTAATGAATCACGATTCATACAAATTTTGTGCAGTGTTTTCAGGTGCTAAATTCCTGACTGTAGCGACTGATGGCTAAAGAGCGGGATCTTTGTTAACTATGTGGCCAAGGGATTATATTTTCATTTTGCAACAAGAAGTGCGAGAATCAGTATTTATTTAGTTGGCGGCCGAATCCTTGACGGACCGAATCCCTACCACTTCCCAACCCTGACCCTGACCCTGACCCTGACCCTGACCCTGACCCTGACCCTGACCCTGACCCTGACCCTGACCCTGACCCTGACCCTGACCCTGACCCTGACCCTGACCCTGACCCTGACCCTGACCCTGACCCTGACCCTGACCCTGACCCTGACCCTGACAGTTATTAAGCGCTAGGGGTTCGCTCCGTTAGAGATTCGGTTCGCTAACCGCGAGAAACTACTAGACCCGCCTGGAAATACCTAAGTTTTAAATATATTTGGCTGCAAACCAATCATGTAACCTCGACCCCTGGCTTCCAATCATAAAATTAACATCTATCTTGATGTCTAATGTCTATACTCTATAGTCCCTGTGGATAATTGTATTGGACTGGATTCCTGCTTATTGAAGATTCCGTGCCAGTGTACGGTTAGTCCAGATTGGGTGAACTTGTCCGGTGACCGATACCCAATTAGACGCAGTTTCCAAACAGTTAACAGGGCAACCAATCAGCTTAATTGGGTGCCCAATAAACCTAAATCCCATAACGAGTCCTTGGCCAGAGCTGTCCAACGTTTAAAATTTATCATAAAAGCACATCTCCTGAAATTGTGGTGTTTACGGAATTATTTTATCTTGGAATTTAGTTAAACTCAAGAACCAAAGTAGTATGACTCAATGACTGCATTTCATTCGACTAAAAGTCGCGACAAAGGTTGCTAAGGAAGTATGGTTCTTACTGCAAGAAAGTGATTGTTTCGTTTACTGAGCTGGGCATCACGTTACAGCAGGAAGGATCTCACTGATTTATAAATCAGATCTTACCGATAAATTCTCGAGTCTACTTGTTTGGTGGTTTAATGCGGGTGTATACAAGTAGAGACACAATTTAGGTGCGATAAAATGTTGCAAATAGTGCGATCCCGCACCTGCTTACAATTGTTTCATGTGCGGCAAATTTGGAGGAAAAAATTCACCGCGATTAAGCTGATTGCTGAACAATTGGCCAAATTTGCAGCCTCTAGGTACTCTCAGGTTGGATTATTGAACAGTGCAGTATATAATTTTGCATAACACGATTGTTCAGTTTGACACACCGAATAACTTACAAGGTTAATATAATATGTATTACACCGAATTTCCTGACAATTCAATGCAAGATGTAAAATTATACAATTACCCTCATAGAAGCTCTTACAATTAGATGACTATGAGAGAATGATACTAAGTTCAATGCATCTCGTTTTCACAACTTTCTAGGATCTAATAACTACAGCATCAATACAAAAAACTCAACTTATGCAGTCTCACTCATAAAATGCGAACTAAAATACAAAGAAATCACGAAAAACCAGTGGTATGAGCACGATTACAGAGACGTTTGTATAATTTTTGTTGAGCGTTTTCATTAACAGCTAAAATATTGACTGGGAATTTCTTTGGGTAATATTTTATAAAAACTTCCGTACGTGTAAAGCTACAGCTTATGGAAGTTTTGATAAAACCTTTATAGGGTCGAACTCTGGGGTTTACTGAACTTATAACTTTATAAGTGCGTGAACCCCAGGCAGTCCCTGGGGACACAAAGAACTCTGGGGTTTATCGAACTTATAACTTTATAAGTGCGTGAACCCCAGGCAGTCCCTGGGGACACAAAGGACCATTTAATTGTGTACTTTTACAGGATCTTTAAAGAAAGAGAGAGGGTGGCCTATTGATGTCAGAATAATAATATTCATTTGAAATTTGCCTACCATGCATTATTGTCGAGGGCACAATATAAGATTATAACTCGTATGTACGCAAATAGGTTAAATTTGAAAAACAGTCAGCTTTGCAAAAATTACACGCTTCATTCTTTTAACGATCAGAGAAACAAACAAACAAAAAAGTAACCACAGAAGCAGACAAAACACTGTAATTACTTAATTAATTACTTAATTACTCACATCAGAAGACGATCAACACTTCGCTTGAACTCTTCGAGAGTAACTGTTCCTCCACTGTCAAAATCCATCAGTTCAAATAACTTTGACAGAAACTGAAACAGCAGATGTAACGGTTAAAGAAGACACCCCTAACGCCCAAATATGCATCTCAAGGAGTACTGGCCGCTGGCGCTGTGTCCCACTTTGAGCTTAATTAAAAAAGTTTATTACACTTAAATCAACAGCTAAAAAGGCAAAAAACAGGAACAGATCACGATATATATCAAGATTAAAAACAGCGGCACTGTGACAGCACAAATTCCTGAAAATTGAACACACTTACAGTTTGGTTTATAGCTTTTTTAAATATTTCTTTGGTCACATCTCCGTTTGTGAACTTTTCCAATCTGTTTACGAACCATTTTATCGTCTTTTTGTTCGCCTCACCCGTCCTGAAAAGTCACCAATGAACACGAGGACAATAAGATTTAAAAAAAGAGAGGCTGAACCTATACGGCCCGCGAGAGGATAGTATGAGGCTGCTCTGCCTGCCTCTGGGGTGTGGCAATCCTGAAGGAGGTTCCATATTACTATATTATCAACGCTTTTCATGCCGTCTGGAGATAAGTCTTGTGATTCGCCATCCAATAACCGACCACCAATGGCTTAGCTCTTACCTGAGATACAAGTTGAAAGATGCAAAATATTGCTGTGTTAACTATGTGGAGATAATGGAGATAAAGTGGCAAGTAAAATAAAGGGGAATGAAGTATTATTTATGCGGTATTATTTATGTATCATTATGTGTATATAATTTATTATACCGTCCACTGTCCCCACCGGAGGTGGTGCACTTATTTGAACAATAAAATTACACAGCAGTAACCATTACGAAATTGTGTTTTCAGTGATTGCGATAGTTGACGTTGATAATAGTAATATGGAACGCAGATGCCATAATCTTAGTTCAAAACTTGGATACATACAGTTTTAATATTTTCAACACTACTATATAACAAATAATTTGAGTGACAGGATGGATTAATAAGGGGTACTGTGTCAAGGTGATTTTTTCTTTGTGTCATGCCTATGTTCCTGAATACTTGCTTCATCATCTCCTTTTTATAACAATCACGGTGTCTTTATTGACTAAGCGCATACTTATCGTAACCTCTTTGTCTTTTTTCGTATTTTTATTTTGCTCTGTTCAAGCAGTGTCGGAACAGAAATCCCATCAGTTGCGTTCAATATTATTAACTGATGTGGACTCTACAATGATATCGATGACATGCTTGTTCTCCAATTCCATGAGGTATTATTTATGTATTATTGTGTGTATCATTTATTATACCGTCCACTGTCCCCACCAAAGGTGGTGCACTTATTTGAACAATAAAATTACACAGCAGTAACCATTACGAAATTGTGTTTTCAGTGATTGCGATAGTTGACGTTGCTAATATAATAATATGGAACGTGGATGCCATAATCTTAGTTCAAAACTTGGATACATACTTATCGTAACCTCTTTGTCTTTTTTCTTATTTTTATTTTGCCAAAGTCTTATCCAACGTGACGAAGGTGCGCACGTGTCCTTATCAACTGATGTGGACTCTGTTCGAGAAGTGTCGGAACAGCAATCCCATCAGTTGCGTTCATTGGGAGGAAGTGAAGGATCTAACAGTAGCGCAGGTGTCATAGAGAATGCCTTGAAGGCAGTTTCAAACAATCCGGCAGCGGCTGTTATTATGAAGCAACATGAGTTTAAAGCGACTACTACTACTACTACCAATTCCCAAACCGATACTACTATAGCTAATACTACTGCCACTACTTCTAAAACTGTCTCACCGAGCGACAAAGTAAAGCAATCAGCAAGCTTTTCTCAAAAATATCGTCTCCAATTTTCCCACGAAGGCTTGTGTGTTGGCATTTCCAAATTAAAGAGACTTACACTGTCTTTTTGTAATCCGGTTAAACAACAAGCTTTCTACCACATCAACGGATTTCTGAGATCTGTAGAATTTTCTGCACTCTGTGTCGGTTTGGCGGGATTCAACAACTCTACCTCTGGTGACAGTCTGACACTGCTAGATTGTACACAAGCAATCAGTTTGAACTTAGAAAAAGGTAGACTCATCTACAGGGATGATCAAGCAGATGGTCGTGGAGTACTCTGCATTGCTCCCGAAGGAGGTAGAGGCACACGGTTGGGAAGCGAAATCGTTCTGACTAAAAAATGTAAAAAAGATGCATCGCAGATTGATCTCCTTGAGGAAAGTGCATTTCTACGTGACAGAGCAGCGCTTTTAATGCTGTCTGAAGATAAGTCTTGTGATTCGCCATCCAATAACCGACCACCAATGGCTAAGCTCTTACCTGAGATACAAGTTGAAAGATGCAAAATATTATCTGAATGTGTAACTGTGGTGGTGAAGACAGCACGGAGACCTCTACTGGTTCTCAGACTTGCAGAATCAATAAAAACAGTACTCAATCAGGATCTTCCGATGATAGTGATCGATGATGGCCCCAACCCGCATCCCTCGGATATCGTGGCCAAAATTGCCCAATTCCCAAATATAAATTACGTTATAACTGAAAGTAAGGATCTTGGAATTAGTGAAGGCAGAATGATAGGAGTTAACATGGTAACGACAAAATACTTTGTAAACATGGACGACGACAATGTGGCCACAGAATCGTGGGACGCCGCTAAAATGGTAGAACTACTCGATACAACTGACTTATCTTTAGTGGGTGGGAGAACCGACTCGATGGACTGGCCTGGGTTTATGGAATTTGGTTGTGACGAATCAAAACCAACTCTTAAACATTATTGGAGATCCTGCAGGATTGCTAACCAGAGCTTGCCTTTCTTTCCAGATTGTTTGCGATGCGATCTGACCAGTAACAGTTTCATGGCAAAGACTAAAGATATTCTCGAAGTTGGTGGTTGGAGCAAGGAGCTAAAAGTAAACGAACACCAGGATATTTTCTTGAGATTGAAAGCTGCTAGCAAGAAAGTCGTCTGGTGTCCTAAATTCCATGTTTTAAATTTGCACATTAACAATGATGATACAACTGTTATCGACAAAGCTTACAAAAAGCTGAGATACAATAGATCGAGGCAGATGAAGAAGGTATTTACGAATCATTGGAATGTTGAAGACTATAAATTGATTAGAGGAAGCAAGAAGAAATGGCCTAACACATGGGAAAACGACAAATATTAACGAGAGGCCAAAATACTTGCAAGTTTAGAGCTTATTTACAGTTATTTTAAATGGATATTATTAAGATCATGTAACATAAAGTGACTCTGCAGGGTTTTGATCTTTAGAACCGTTACACCCATTATAAGTAACATTCCTAAAAGTTGGAAACATCTGGTATTCATGAATACAAACTATAAATTGATAAGATGAGTTTTGGGTTCAAGCACAATATTGACGTTCTATTATCTATCAAGATATTATCTTAATTTGTTGTTTAAATTGTTTGCTGTGTTTAACCTTGAAAATATCAAATCAACCAAGAAACTCTTTGCAATTAAAACGGCTGCATCAAAAATTTAAAGTGTCACCGGAACTAAATGCCGATTCTGAACTACCTTAAAGTTAACCTCTGTTGGGATTCTGAGCGTCAGTTTTAGTCATTTTTTTTTTGAACATTTAAAATATAATTTGAAACATTACAGTAACGTTATTCAAATCTCAAACAGAAACAGTATATAACAAAGTTTTGTGTTTTGATCATATGATCGTGGATTGATGTATAGTGATTGATTGCATAATTTTGAATTTGATTGATGGTGATTGTGAGTGAGAAGATGTTTGGAGTGCCAGCCAGTAACTCTGTCAAATGAACAGCCCATTGAAGAGCGAATGAGCGCAATTTCGCAGGAACAGCAGAGAGGGTGGCACAAAACGGCACACACGGAAAGGACGAAACAAAAAAGAAAAAACGCCGTGCGCGGTAAGCTTGCCTATGTCTGAGAGCTGGTGTTACCTGGCAAGAGGCCTCGAAGGAGGTGCCGTGGTGGAGTGTGAGGGGAAAGTTCGAGAGCACGGCAGCTCTAACTGATGATGATGATTGAAGATTGAAGAAGGAGGTCGAGCGGGAAGCTCAGAAAAAGCTAAACAGGAAGGATCCAGCTGAGGTCTGACTCATGTCAGGAAGTGACGAAAAACTCACAGACAAAATCATCAGTGGCTGTCTACCTCGTACGTAGGCAGTGACACAATTCTTGTCGGCATTTCCATATAACCCCAGCTGTAATCTAAAAACTGTTACCGTGCTATTGCAACAGATAATATTCAAACATATTTCAAGCAAAATACTCCTTTGGATGTTGCTGCTGTTAACTATGTGGAGATAATGGAGATAGAGTAGCAAGTGAAATGAAGGGGAATGAGTAGACGTGATGGGTGATGAGATAATGAGTAGAGGCGACAAGAGAGTAGGCTAACTCGTGTCTGGCCCAGTTTTTCGGGCACGATTAGTCGTTTAATGTTGTTTGCGAAGTTGATAATCGTGGAGATATGTTTAAAAAAGGAGAAAGTATTACCCTTTTAATTGTGCAATTGTGGGCACGATAACGATAAATATCGGCGATAAAATTGGGTCATAACAATGAGCTAAGTTTCTGTTAATTTGTATGACTATTGAGTATTGACTGACATAATCAATTACACTTTCGTCACCTTTGTAAATGAGGATTACGGAAGTCCTGAGTTACTGTTACACGAATTCTAAACACGTTATTTGAAATTCCAGAACGGCATCGTAAAGTTATTTAGAAAGCATTTGCTAGACGACTATACATTACAGCTTGAGTCTTCTTTTCTATGTATGGTACGATCAGGGGTTTACTTTTTGGTCGTTTGGCCTGGGGGATGTGGACGAGTTAGCAATTTTAGTGGCTGGATTTTCAATAGCGTGCTTTACTCGCAAGTGATACCACAAACTAGTGTAAGACCTCTTGGCAGTTGTACCTTGGAAAGACTTCTCACAATGTATGCAGGTCACGTTGTCTCCCTCTTTTTTGAACTGTTTCCAGATCTCTTTGGTTGCCATATCAAATAAAACAGTTTTAACAGGACACGACAGGGAACAACCAAGCACGTCATTAATTAACAATTTAAGCAAATGAGCAATCAAATACAAACATGATATGGGAATTGGCCATTGTGAAACATATGCTGTTAAAATGATTGATCATCAAGTGCAGGACAAATCAGCAATAACACATGACAATGGGATGTGAAATGTGAATAACTTAACATATTTTGATTTAACAATGAGAGGATGACACTGATTTGAGTAGCAAATTCGGTTAATAAATATCCATGCTAACAGTTTACTATATCAAGATTTAATGTGGGCGGTGAGAATTAGCTATATACTAGTTAGCTGTAGAGGTCCAATAACGCTAAATTTGATCGATGAT